AAGGGAAAAAGTGAGGAGCTGATGCCAGGGGCTTAAGTGGAGAGTAGATGTTTTGAGAATGATGAGGGCAATGAACGTACAAATGTGCTTTTCACAATTGATGAATGTATGGATTGTGGTAAGAGTTGTATGAGCCCCTAATAAAAACAATTTAAAAAAATCTTAACAAAGGTTAAATTGCACTATGAAGATTCCAGCAAGCACCCACATATAGTAGGTGTACTGAAAATTCTCTGCTTTTGAATAATTTGTTCGAAAACATTTGTGATTTCAAGATCTAATGAGGCAGTAGATTAATGTTAATCTTTGCAAAGTCTTGTTTTTATAATGTCACAGCCACACGCATCCCATGCCTGCAAAATCAAAGCAGCCTCCCTGCCTTTGAGTCAATCCTGATTCATGGTGACCCTGTAGGACAGACGAGAACTGCTCTGTGGATCTGAACGGGAGCAGAGAGCCTCATCGTTCTCCCACTGTGGTGGTGGCTTTGAACATGGCGATCGATCCTGCAGTTAGCAGCCCAACACTTGACCCACTCTGCCACCAGTGCACCTTTTATTGCCTAAAATGGCAATTATTTCTTCCTCGGTACAGTTCACAAACACAACACACTTTCCCTTGCGTCATCCTTTCACTACCCCTTTGAAAATAAGTGGCCTGGTTTCTAGCTCCAGTCAACTACTAAACCCTTCCGTAGTAGGACCCTAGCTTGCTCTTTTGGGTTTGTCTTTTATTACTGCACTTCAAAAGGAGCCCTGGTGGTGCAGTCACGTGAAGTGGTGCAGTTGCATTGCTCATTGCAAGGTCAGTACTTTAAACCCACCAGCCATTCCGAAGATGAGGCTGTCTCTTCAAAGATTTACAGTCTTGGAAACTGAGTCGGAACCAACTTGAAGGCAGTGGGTTTAGTGGGTGTTGCCTTGTTGGTGCCTTTCCCACTATCTTATGGCCAGTTTTCTTCACAGGGAAAACTACCTGTCAGAGTCTTTCCTATATTTCTTAAATTTCAAAGCAAATACTTCTGCCGTCATAAAATCCTTATCGCCCACCACCACCATTGCCTGGGACTCCAGAATGTCTCAGACCTGTCACATGGTCTTTAACGTTTACCTGGTGTTAATATCATTTGCGTATTTGCCCTGTCCCTTCTGTCTTATTGGTTACGGTTCCTGGTCTTTGGGTCGTTAGGAGAAACAGTAGTCCATTGGTAGTAACTATTGGGTCAATTTGATTTGCGATAATTAGAAATTAAGTGACAGAAATTCTGGAGTAGAGAAAGGGAGCCTTGTCAGATAAGCCTGTCCCTATAGCCATTCATTGACAGAGCCATTGTATAAACCGTGTCACTGTAATTCCCTTCACTTTAAAGTGAGAGTGGAATATAATGGGTTTTAGGTCTCTTCTACTTGTCTGATGTTGTGCATGTTAAAGGAAACTGGCTTTAAAGTAAAAGTATAATCTAAGATAATCATTTTGATAGTTTTTCTGCAAAACTTAGAAAGTTGTGGAACTTTACAAATCCTACAGGCTATATTGATGCTATTATCGGAACTAACTGGCCAACTAAAGATAGCACATCGCATTCAGAAGGCCCAGCTACTGTGTGGTTTGTTTCAAGTCAAAGGGAATGGTAACTGTGGCAGTTGGAAATGAAGTCGATTTTGATTCCATTATACTTTGTAGTACAACATTACCAAAAGATTGGTGAAGTTGCCCCTAATAAAGGTCTTAATAATTGGAATAAGACATATGTTCACTATGAATCTAAGGAAATTATATTTTATAAAATTGCTCTATTTAAGCAGCCTTATGTTCTTGGTTGTAGGATATTTTGTTTAATAAATTATAAATTGCATGATTTTATCCACTCACAGTTGACTGGCTCACTTAAAGGAAAGCTCCATGTGTGACGTTTTTAGTACCAGAAGAATGTAAAGTGGAATCATTCCATAAATATTCTGTGCTGTGCTTGAGCTGAATGTGAACTATCGAGTGACAGTTATGTGAGAGAAGTCATTGTCAAGATCTTGATTTACTGTTGTTGCACCTTATTAGTACCTGCATATAAATCCTAACAAGATAATAACATTTTTATTCTTTTTCTGTTTGTTTGTTTGTTTTATCCTTAATTTATTTATTTTTATTCTTATATCTCCTAAAATTTGGCTTTAAGATATTTCGTGCTGTGCTTTAATGGTAGCTGTAATTCATATAGCTTCAGTAATTGTATCCCCTTCTTTTGTACTCACAGTAAAACAGTCATTGGTGTACTATAGAACAGAAGCACACATTGTTTTAGGGTGTTCATGTTTTTGTTTAGGATTTTCTCCTTCATATCCTGAAAATGTTTGATAAATGTGGCTGCTTGTGTTTTAGACAACTGTGGTAGAAATCATACATGCTTTTGAAAATTTTAACATTTTAGAAGGCCAGGAAGGTGGGAAAAAGACAAGACTTTCTACTTTCATTAAGAGTTAAACTCTTGGAAACCCACAGGGGCAGTTCTCCCTTGTCCCATAGGGTCACTGTAAGTCAGAATCTACTCTGTGGCAGTGAGTTAGATTTGGCAGGGGCGGGGGGGTGTCAGGAAGGCTGATTTTGGGGGCATTACACATTAATTTGTTTTGTGAACCAGTGTGTTTAACTGGAAAGCATTTTGAGAATTTGCTTATAGATCTTCTCTGAACACAACACTGATAATATGTTACTAATAAATTGAGCACAAATACATTTTGTTGTAGAAAACAAATGGACTTCGGAAGGTTCGTCAGACAACTGTGTTCAAGGTGAATGGAGGGTGCCAGTTTAAGAGTGCTGGGATGCTGAAAGGCCATCACATTGCCTTGTTGCTAGAGACCAGTGGCTCTCAACCTTCCTAATGCCGCGACCCTTTCATACACTTGCTCATGTTCTGGCGATCCCTCAACCATGAAATTATTTTCACTGCTACTTCATAGCTGTAATTTTGATACTGTTATGAATCAGGCGACCCCTGTGAAAGGGTTTGTTTGACCCCCAAAGGGGTAGCGATCCACAAGTTGAGAACAGCTGCTTTAGACACAAGAATGAGGGACAAGGAGAAACTACTCTGGGCTTCCTATCCCATTACTTGAGATTTAATTTTAAATCTTTGAATTTTGGAATACTGAGTGCTACATATGGTAAAGAAAGGAGGTTGATTATTTTGACGGTCTTTTCCTAGTATAGTGCCATATTTAAACCATTAAACAACTGAAATCGAACTTAGGAAAGAGACTCTTTGGTCACAGATGTGTGGGTGAATATCCAGAAGGAAACATTTTCTGAATTGCTATGGCTTGGATAGTGAGAGTGGAGATCATTGGAGAACCCCGCATGGTTTCACTTCTCTTTGCCCCGCTTTTTCAAACAATAAGTGTATAGTTACATGCTCATTACTTAGGTGAGAAAAATGCCTTTTATACCAGAATGCGGGCTTTAATTTGAATAATTAGCTTGAAAAGAGGTTCAGGATTCTTAGCAGGAAGCTTATAGAAGTATGATTTCTTTCGGTGACAGATGATAGTTCCATAAAATACAAGGAAGTTTCAAAAAGTCTCTGGAAAAATTCCATTATCTTTTAATTCCATTTTTCCCAAAAATCCTTCTTAGCAAACCCTTCTTGTTTTGCATACATTAAAAATATTAAGAAACTCAATTGTCCTTGTTTCTCACAGAATATCTGTGTTTCCGTTTAATTTGTAAAATGAGCTACATTTTTTTTAACTCTAAAATGTTCTAATTCCATTGTAAAACGAATTTGGGCATTAGATATTTAAATGTCTACTCATAAGAACAAGAGTGGAAAGCAGTGCAGGATGAAGCCTTGCTTCAGTCTGATTGCCAGACCCCGAGGTCTGATCACTGGTAACTGAAGGTGACAGCAGCAAAGCAGCAGGTACTGTCCTCCCCGAGAGCTGCTGAAGGTTGCATGCCTGTGGCCATCCCCAAACCTTGTGGATTGAAATGTTGATGCACAGGAATCATGCGGTGTGCCGTTGAAAACCTGCTACTGACATACTTTCTTTGGAATGATGTTTGAAATCCTGAGCAAAAATTTACCTGTGTTGGAGAAAAAATAGAGAAGTGGTTTACAATAAACTTTAGAAACTTGGTTATTGTCACAATTTTGTATCTGAGAATGTTATTAAAGAATTGATATATGTATGATGTGTTGATTAGACTAGTTGGTTAGAAAATAATTCTGAGGGCAGCAATTTTGCCAAGAAACAAGTAAGGTTAGATAAGTTCTGAGAAATTAGCTATCTGTAGTCGCTAACAAATCATATAATGGGTTAAGTTAATGACTTTCTTTTTGTGAAGAAATGCTCTTGTAGGAATAGAGTTGGGTGAATGGATGGTTTATTTTGTTTTAGAGAGAGGCAACCTTTACAGTTGAGAGTCCAGTGTATTGGTAGGTCTTTGTAAGGGAAGAAAGAGCAAGTTTGAACTGTGTATCCATGGCTTGGGCTCTTAGACCTATAAAGATGCTATGTTAAAAAATACTGATGGTGTGAACTACGAAGGGAAACATCGAACAATATTTTGTTAAGCTGTTGTTGGTACAGTGACATTCAACATATCAGCCTTGGGGATGGTAGAAGTAATAGAATGCTTTTGGAAGGTCCCAGTGTGGCCTGCCTTTCCTGACCTTGGCTAACGGGAATAAAATTAAATACAGGGACTAGTAAATAATGTGAAATGAAGTTTGTCTATTTAAGACCAATTTAAGAAAGTAAATTGTACATAAAGGAAGTAATGATTAAGAACAATTATATTAAATGCTATGTATTTGTAGTCATTATTTTGGGGTCTTAAATATAAGGATTGTTACTTATTCAAAGGTGGGGGGGTTTTGGTATAAACTTTGTGGTTTCAAATGCTTGATTACAGTAGCTATCAAAATGTGTAATTGGGGATTTAAAAGGCTTATTTGTTTACTAATAAAGAAAAATTAATAAATGTATTTGTTTACTTTAAAGCTGCAGAAGAAGGAAGATCAGCAATTGGAACTTAAAAAAAGTACTAGCCCTAAGAAAACCACAGAGCCCACTGTGGATCTTTTAGGACTTGGTAAGTAATACAAAAACAAAACCCACCCTTAGTGTTACAAAGCCACTGAAACCTTTACTTGAAACGAATATAATGGCTTTTACATCAATATGCCAAAAGGTGCCTGTTAACTGAATTTGAAAATAGTGTGATTAGTTTGCTGGTTTCCCACAAGAAAGGAGCTCTTTAATAAGGGAGCTGGTGTCTGTCAGCACAGTCTTCACTAAAGCATGAGTAATGAGTTCCCTGGGGAAAGAGGAGCTATCAAAGTAATCTTCTTGAAAGGCTTGGGTAGACCATGACATCTCAACATTTAAAGTGTGGTGACTTTTCTCTCTATCTCTCTCCCTCTCCCCATTTAAGTTTTTGTTTGTTTAAGAAAAACCGTTTTTGCAAAATGTTTTTATTTCTGAGGGATTTTCTTCCCCTTAGCAAATAAATTCTGGGTAACCTTGTAAATCTATTACAAAGTAAATCTTAACTTTGGTTATCTGAAGCAGCACATTTTACACCTAAACCTAGTGACTGGATGAGTCTCCATATCTGATGACAATAAGGAATACTTATTTGAATTTATCCGATCTCATGGCTGGCAGATACAAGGGGAATGAAAAAGTTCATGGTGAAATGGAGTTAAAAGATAATGGAATTCTCCCACCAACTTTTTGAAGTCCCCTCTTAATGTTTTGTCAGCCTAGTAAATAAATAGCCTGGCTTGTACTATGCAGTATTTTATCTACTAATATTGTCATATTAAAAAACAATTGACTTGAATAACATCTAATTTTAGTAATATCTGAACCTTAGAGCAGGATTTCTTCATTTTTTTTAAGTGTGGAGAAAGATTCACAAAGGAAAATAGTGAAAGGCAAGTGAAGGCAGGGTAGGGTGCGACTTCATACACTGATGTTCAGATGGCTGAGGGCCATTTCAGTTCTTACCAAAGACATTTGTTTTAAGAGTTAGTGCTCAATGGTTTTCACTTTTTAGGAGCTGATGGGTCTTGCAAGTATACTTTCTAGAGGTAAAATTCTTTTGTGGTGGTAAAATAGCTAGTATATTAGATTTTTTTTTAAAGTAACTTTGAAATTCTGTCGAGGTTTTAAAATAATTATGTTGAATTTATTATGATTTTTTTATTTTCTTTGCTGTAATGATAGAAAAAAACTTCCTTTTCAAAGTAAGACTATTATTAAAACAACATCCACTGTTTCTTTATTAGAGCATTTCCTTCCAAACCATGCTGGTTTATTAGTGAATATTTAGTAATGTAAAATATAAAGTAGTCATGATTCTTAGGCCAGAGATTCATTCATTTATTCAACAAGTACTTCTTGAGTAGACACCAGTCCCTGGGGGAGAAAGATGAAGCTGTCTGCTCCTATAAGAATTTACAGAGTAAAAACCCAAAGGGGCAGTTCTACTTTGTTTCTGGAAGGTAGCTTTGAGTTGGAATTGGCACACTGGCAGTGGGTTTGGTTTGAGCCATGTAACTAGGCACTTCTGTAGGCACTAAGCAGATAGCTATACATACAGCTATACAAAGAGACTGGTAACAAGAGCTCATGGCCTCCAGGAGCTTTTATTAGGATGAGGGAGACGGTGAATAAACAGGTAAATGTATTATAGGTCATGTGGTAAGCCTTCTAGAGAAAAGAGCACTGGGGGTTGCTGTTTTAAATGGGGTGGGCGGGGAAGGTTCCCGGAGGTGTCATTGGAGCAGAGACCGGACTAGACTGCGGATTTGGCGTCTGTGGCATGGACATCCCCAGTAGAGACCACAGTGCAGAGGTGCTGCAGCGTACTTGATGGAGTTTGGTGACCAGCATGGAAGGCCAGTGTGGTTAGAGTGTGGAGTGTGACCTGTGGGAGTAATGACAGAGGAAACCCCGAAGTAAGGGTCAGTCAGATTACATTAGGACTTTTACTCAGAGTGAGCTTGAAAAAAAACATTAGAGGGGTTTGAACAACGGAGCGAGCACATCATCAGAATTTAGTTCGAAAACAATGACAGTGATTGTGTTGAGAATAGACTAGGCAGAGGGGTGAAGCAGGGAGACCAGTAAGGAGCTTGCTGAAATGCCCCTGAGTTAGGACATTGATGAGGGCTGCTGGGGTTATGAGAAGTAGTCATGTTCTCAATTTATTTTGAAGATAGAGGCAGTAGGTTTTCCAGGAATATCCATTTGGATGTGAGCTATGAGTGGAAAGGGGGAAATAGGAATGGGCACACCTGCAGGGGCTCAGGGGCTTGGTTTGGGTCCTGCTGAGCTCGCGCTGCCCTTCTTCGGTGCCCAGACAACAGACAGTCATTATCTGGAATAAGGACTCAACGATCCTTTCCTGTTTAGAATAAGAATGTGACATTTTAACCTCTGTAGGCAATATAGACTTTGTCACATTACTCAAAAGCAACTGCACATAATAGGTAAATGCCCGTTTTCCATTACAACTTCATTGCCATGAACAAGGTGGTGGACTAAATTGGGCCTGCAGCCGGTAGTCTGCTGCTCCCCGATGTAGAACACACACAGTTGTTTTGGCAGAGGGTGAAGAGCACACACAGCAAATCTCATGGATCACCTTAAGTCGCATGACCAAGGTTCAGCAGAAAGGATCCACGCACAGGCATTTTCCACTGACCTTGTTGAGGTGATGGCTTTGAAAATTTTGGTTCAGAATTGGCACACTTTGACCTTCAATCATCGTGGAGGTATTGCAGAATCGTATGGTGCAAAGCACATGAAATATTTGAAGCAGTGATCCAATCTGCTATAGCCATAACCCACCGAAAAACCCAAACCTGTTGCCATTGAGTCAGTTCTGACTCAGTGATACTCTGGGGCAGGGGTCCTCCAACTTTTTAAACAGGGGGCCAGTTCACTGTCCTCAAACCCATTGGAGGGCCGGACTAGAGTTTAAAAAGAATTATGAACAAATTCCTATGCACACTGCGCATATCTTATCTTGAAGTAAAAAACAAGCGGGGGAAAAAAACACCCAGCGGGCTGGATAAATGTCCTTGGCGGGCCGCATGTGGCCTACAGGCTGTAGTTTGAGGACGCCTGCTCTGGGGGTTTGTGTGGCCGTAAGTATTTATGGGAGCAGGTAGCCTCATCTTTCTCCCAAGGAAGGAGTGGCTGGTAGGTTTGAACCACTAACCTTGAAGTTAGCAGTCCAGGGCTTACCTCATAGTGCCATCAGGATAGAAATGGAAGGGGAAAGCAAAATAGTATTAGAACCCCCAGATGGTTGTGAAAGTGGTTTCTTTTTTTCTCTCCTCAGTAAAATAGGAAGTGGGGCAATAATCTTGAATAGAAGATAGGGAAGGAGGTGTTGAAATGTAGATAGAGATGGAAGAATTAAATGTAGATGTCTAGGGGAGTAAGATAGTGAATGGATTGTTGATTGTTATTTAGGCTTGTTGGACAATGTCAAAAGCTCCCTTGATATTTGTTGTTGTGAATGCAAAGTGATACTGGTCCCCGTATCTGTGTTTTCTTGGTCACATTTGACTACACACGCAAGTTGGGGACCAGGGTTCAGCTGGATTTAACTAGGACAGTACAGCCCATTAATACTGCCATCTTATGTGACCCTTCACAGTACCTCCACTCCTGCTCCATGTCCTCCCTCTTCTCACTCCCGGAGAGGGTTAGGTGATAAATGCTTTTGGCTTGCTGTCCATGTTGGCTCTTTTGGCATCTATTCCCCTTTCGTGTCATGTGAAAACAGCCACAGGCAAATATGTAAGCAAATAACCATGACTGTGTCCCAACAAAATTTTATTACAAAAATAGACTGCAGGCTGTAGTTTGCTGACCCCTACTTTATGTTCTTGTGGTACTGATAACAACTGCTTCATCATTAGGTGCTAGCTTGCATATGAAGCCCATAGAAATACTATGTATTCATTCTGTACTCTCTACAACCAGAAGTCAGAGAGTTGACTATCTTCTCTAGTCTTGGAAGTTACGTAAGGTCTAGAGACTTCTGCCAACCAAGGGGCAGAGTGGAACTGGCTTCTCAGACATACCAGGGATGTGGTGCCCTCTATGTCCTTTACCTGTGTGGTCACTCTAGAAACGGAGCTACTGTGATGAGGAGTATGCTAGAAGGATTGAATTTTGTTGTTAATGATTATTGGTTTTTACTTGATATAGACTGCGAGACTGCTGAACAAAGTAGAGTTTACAGTGTACAAGACTTCATATTTTCATTGAGTAGTAGTTTCGGTCCTATCCTCCTTTCCTCCCTCCCTGCCTGTAGATGATCCCTGTCTGGAAATAAACTCTTCAAGGGGCCGAGCACGCGCTCCAGCCCTAGGGATTGAGCAGAATCATAAATTGCTGGGCTTAAACGTGACCTTACAGGTTTCAGTTTGCTCTCTCACAAAAGTTTGGAAGCCCTCCTGCCAGGTTTCTGTTGTGTGACCCCGTGTGCACTGCCTGCCCACTACAGAACAGGCTGGTCTGGCTGGGGAGTCCTGCTGGCATGGTGATTCAGCATTTACTGCCAACAGCACACACCAGCTCCTTCGTGGAAGACAGATAAGAGAGTCTACTTGCATAACGTTGACTGCCTTGGAAACCTGAAGGAGCAGATCTAGCCTCTTATATAGGGTTACTTTAAATTAGACTGAATTCAACAGCAATGGTTTTTAAAATCTCTATTTTATCTGGGCGTTAGGGTCTTCATCTGGGAAAATGGAAATAAGATCCCTTGTGTGGTTGATGGCCCAAATAGGTGGTCTACGTTTGTGAAGCATGGTAACTTGCACACAGTTAGCTTCTCTCAAGCTACTAACTTGCGCACCAGGTCAGAGGAGTTCTTTAGAAGTTAGCATAAGCTTTTGAAGGGATAGAGTGAGGAGTAACTCAAACTATGTTGATAATTGAGAATAGGATTTCTGTGGGTCACACCATGGATAGCTCCTACCCATTGAGAGACAACGGAGGATAACACATAGAAATACTGGTTGCAAAGTATGGTCTTTGAGGAGCTTTGAAGGATTTGTAACT